GGTCCTCGCGCATGAAGCCGGGCTGGAAGAACGGCAGCACGCGGAACGGCCCCTGCTCGCCGGTGAACATGTCGTGCGGCGAGCGCCGCCCGGGGTTGGCCTTGGTCGCCGACTAGTTGAGAGCATCGGCGGCCCACTTCGCCGGTGGGATTTGCATGGGGTGTGTTTATGGTGCGGCTAGAACATTCGGTGCCATGTGGGGTACTTGAAAAACAGCCGGACATAATGCAACTCAATGCCGTCCCCCAATACCGTATGGGTTGTGCTGGTGATACACTAACCCAGGACGGCGCGGACAACAGCGTGGCGGAGTCGCGCTGGTCTTGCACCTTGGGAACAGCAACGACGTGCGAGCTCCAAATCGAGTTCGATGATTGTTTCGATGTCTCGTACCTGATGATCTGTGAGTATCCACCATTTGCAACCGTACCCGCTGCCGCAGGCGGTTGACTTCCACTCTGTCGAAGCCCTGGGAGTTGTGCGCAACACCCACCCATCGATCGTCGGTGATGATGAACTGTGCTTGCGAGTATGACGTCCATACCCTCCACAAGCCTTCAAGAACACGGCTGGGGTGGGCGCCCGACCACCCACACCCTGCCCTGTGAAAACCGAGACAGTCCTCCGCTTTGCGGCCAACGAAACCACCCGCTCTGTCCGTCTACCGTCTGTCGACCCATTAGATTTCCACGAGAGTGACGACGCCACACAGCTATCGAATTCTTTCGACGTTCAAGTCGGGTACGGCACGGTGCACACGGACTTGACGTCGCCAGGGACCGCCCTGGGCGCGGGACAGCGGGTAAACATGCCACAGACATATCTGGAAATTACCTCCATCTGCTCTTCGACCTGACGAGCGATCAGACGATCGATGTTAGCGAGGTACTGTACCCTACGTCGCTTGTAGAGCGACTGTTGGTCACTCTTTTGAGACAGATCTCAGCACACACGATACGCAAAGTGAACCGATTGGAATAGCGCTGAAGGCGCAGGATGTACACATCCTTCGGCTTGTGCCCCAAAAGATTAACGCGGTTTTTGATGGAGACCTGTCGACTTGATACAGAGACTCCGCGTTCAGTGTCGTCTTGGTGACTCACGCGCCCCACAACCTTGCACCGTGTGTGCATGTTCACGCACTGCTGTAGGTGGAAATCTACCTGGACGTGGACGATCCCGATAACGTGGTTGTTGCGACGCTTCCTACAATATCGACCGGTGCGAGTTTCGACAGCACGACCGTTGCGTGATGGAGAGGGTGCAAGCCAACGTTGCTCTTTGGGTTGTGTTCATTTCTTTGAGTTAGTTATGCTCGAATTCAAGGTGCTAGTCGTTATTGGGCAGGCGCTTTGCTGTTGTTGATACGCCGCACGAACTTGACAAGGGAAAGGCCCACCCATCCACTCACTGGTACCCATTTGTCATCATTGTGCCGCGTTTCCTGCGTTGAACGCGAAACCGCTTCCCAGTGAAAGTGGACACCGTCTCCAACGTCGTGGCAGCTGCAACTTTCCGGGACTTGAGAACGGATGCCGGCTGTGGGGAGGCTGGTTGCGATGCTCTGCTCACACATGTGAGTGGGCATTAACCAGGCAGCTACTACACTGCACGGCGGCGAGGCAGTACGCGTGGTCGCATTTAGCAGGGTGAAGTTTGTTACATAAAGTTACACTATTAGACTAGAGTCAGCGAGTTTACACCAATAGACTACCAGTCAGCGCTGACTAGTCTAATGGTATCACTTTATCGAACAAAAGATATGCTCAAAGCTCATTTGCACCCGCCTGGATCACTGGAACTATGAGTGAGTAGAGATCTCCGGGGATGGACCCCTCGCCAGACGCTGATAGAAATACTTAATGGCGCTTGGGAAAGTGAGCAGCCGGGATTCGAACCCGTGCGTGCATCCTTCAGGTCCAGATGTTAAACCGTAACTTTATCGAATAAAGTCATCATACTTCCTCTGTATCATAAGTTAGGGTACCTAAATGCAATAGATTGTCTGGGTGCAACCGTGTTAGTGATGGTAGCATAGTCGGGTTTGTAAGAAAGATATAACAAAGAAGAAGCGATGGAAAAAAATTAAAAAAAACGAACATCTATTTCTGTATCTACTATTGGTCAAAATGTACCCTATTTTGGCCTGTTTTGGGAATATTTTTGAGAAAATATTTTGGGATATTTTTTGAGAATTCTCGACAAAATTCTCAAATCCATTTTACTACCCTACTCTAGCGATGGAATCGCCCCCCAGCACACCACCTCGCAAAAGGGGCACCGAATTATCGGTTGGTAGGCGCTATGCCATGGCGGTAGAAATTGCGATGGGCATTCAGCCGGGGTTGGTTGTCAAGGATTCTCAACGGCGTGCTTGACCCGATCTGCGAACGCTACGGTGTTGGAAAGAAGTACCCGTCCAAGTTGTGGAAACGGGTCAAAACCCAGATCGACAACACCCAGGAGCTGGACCTTTCAAACGAAGCAAAGTGGGCGGCCGTCGCTTCTCACCCCTTCAAAGATTGCGGCGGCATCGAGTCCAAGTGATGATGAGGAAGAATAGTCGACTTTTTCTTTTTTTTCCCCGCCACCAACCAACCCTTCTTTTTGTCCCGCAAGTGTCTTGATTTTAGTGTGACCACCCAAGTGTCTTGGTTTTAGTGTGTGACCCCAAGTGTCTTGGTTTTAGTGTGGTTCACTACTGTACTGATTTTAGTATAGGGGGCGCGACATGGATCGTTGAGTAGAGGGGGGGGTTGGATGAGGGCCCTACTGTTGCTTGCTTTGCCCCGTAAGTGTCTTGGTTTTAGTGTGGTCCCCCCAAGTGTCTTGTTTTCAGTGTGGGGGCCACTATTATGCTGTTTTTAGTATGGGGGACGCGTCATGGATCGTTGAGTAGAGGGGGGGCTAGGTTTAGGGTCAGGGATCATTCTTGGTATTTTTGCCTTGTTTTTGTCATTGCCCCGCCCCCCCGCCTGGTCGGAGGGGGCAGAATACATGCAAAATGCGGCCTTTTTCAGGCCGACTGGTTTTTCTCGGGCGCTCATGCACGCGGGGTGGCGCATGCATATAAAATAAAATAAATGTTTCTTGCTCAAAAAACTCCGAAGATTTCAACAAAAAAATCGAAAAACAGATCGGACACGGTTAAGGGCCCGTACAAATTTAGGTACCCTAACTTATGATACAGAGGAAGTATATATTATTCTTATTATGTCGCCCTCGACACGGACGGGCTCGCTGGCACACATGGCGTGTCTTCTACATTTGGAAATACGTGGACTGTCCACCAACAGTATCGATGCTCTAACCGACATTGAAACTGACCCGCCACCCCAAAAGCGCGCAAAAATGGTTTCACAATTCGTAGCTGCTTTCTACTCTTTAATCACGGTTCCCGGAGTGACCCTCAACCCTTTGATGGGTGACGGCATCAACGAGGGGACAATACCTCGGCGTTGGTCTTCCACCTCATCAGCCCCACGAAAACCACGCACACATACATGCTTTTAGTGCTGTCAGCATGCTCATCGCATACCAACAACCCGCTGCCTGCTGTCGTTCGAATTTTTGGAGACATTTTTAGCTGTTGGGTTCTCACGGCAATTCTCGTTAGAACTTGGTTGCGCAGACGTTGGCCAAAAAAGAAACAGGCATGCTATAACATCAAACATGCCCCTCGAACTTGAAACCCGCTCCTCTTCATCCGGCTCTCAGGGTGATGGAGTTGTTGTCGGTACCTACATGACGGCATGAACAATCCATCGCAGCTCTATGGCAGAGTGATGTGCCGAGTTTGGTACAACACCGAAGGTCGCATGGGGCCAAGCGCAAAACCCATAAACGTACGTGCACATCCACATGCCTCCACTGCGCCGACTCCATGCCTGCGCCTCCACAGGACGGCCACAACAACACTGCTGTCGCATCCTCGAGGTGGTCATACGAGTCGAGCCTGGACGTGGACGTGGAAAATTACATATTTTTCTCAAGCCCCCAATATTGCCAGCTACAATTCGTGTTCGGGGACGAAGGTGACAGCGTCTGGGATGATATGACCACTGTTTCGCACGTGGTGATATGTGAGTTATTGTCTTCCATTATGTGCGTTTGGCCATACGCTCGTCAAACGCCTGGCCGATGGACTCCCCCATGTTCGCTGGCGAACTCATCGTCCTCGTCGAACTATTGTGCGGTAGAGGCAGGACTGCTTCCGCCGGTGCAATTTTTGATCAGGCACCCACCTGCTTACGTCGCGTTCTTCTGCCCGTCGTGTTTGAATCGCACATTCTGATATCCCGGAATACCCCCTCAGAGACGTGGTGTACGTCCCACGCACTACTCATCACACCCACTGGCCCTGCACGTTTTCTGCCCGACGGTCCATCGTTCTCCTACTTCTGCATGCTCCTCAAACTCTCGTGACTCCTCAGATGTCCACGAGAGCGATGATGCCACGAAGGAAGCAATGACCATGAACGTATACAGTAGTTACTCCGGTAATGACCCCGCCGGTTCCTTTGTGACCGTTCCGGGCACACCACTCGGGGCCGGTCACAGGGTGAACTTGAATAGATCCTTGGCCACGTCGTTGACGGTCGTTCCCGTGCTGTCGGCAGGACAGTGGGTCGACATCAGTGAGGTTCGTGGGTGGTTATCCGGCACGCTCGCGACTCCGAAGCTCGGAGGGTAGTCTAGCCAGTAGGATATTTGCGGTCGGCCCTTCTCCGGCTAGGCCACAATTTTGTTTACTCCAACCCTGACCAAGAAATGGACAGGGTGGCCTGTGCTGATCACAAGTCGACGAGACTGCTTGCAGCCATCTCCCTGCAAAATCAATACCATCGTGCGAAGACCTACTACGCCCAAACATGCCCAGCTTCACAGGGTGCTTTTTTCTCTTGTACAGGTGGAGATCTACGTGGAGGTGACCCAGACCGTGTTCATTCCCGCGGCGGAAGCCTGGAACGACGGTGAGCACGGAGGCGTGTCAGAACTCCATATCCATTTTGTTGTGATCCCGGGACGTGTGCATTCTCCCTTGCCTCGACCCACATGAAAAGCCTGACCTCCTTGGTCGCTAGGAGGTTCGATGTCATGCTACATAGACAGTCGTTCTCACGACAGTGCAACGCCTGCGCCGACTGTTTGCCAACTACGCTCGCCAAGCACTTATCCCACCCGCTTGGTCGCCGTGCTTATTGCTTGTTCACAGTGGCCGCTGATACTATCACTACCGTAACTCCTTCCGCCTCCTGGTCGGTCGCCGGTTTCGGCCCTAAAATGACAACGTTGAGCGAACTCGCGGGTTCCGAGGAGCACCAACCACTGTGTACCATTGGGAGCTATCCATGACTCTCCTCGAACCGCGGCAGAGGCTGCTTGTAGTTTCAGCATGCTACAGGCCAGTTATCCCCCCTCTTTACCGGTGACCATTGTGCCGTTAAACGCAGGACGGCGATGACAACACGGTGGCCGCCTCATATTGGTCATGCCAAGCGCCAACCGGTACATTGAGCAGCTCGTTCGGCTACGAGTCCTCGTTCGACTACGACTCCTGTTGGCTGTATTTCGAGCTGAACGACGAGTACACCGCCTCCTACATGATGCTATGTACGTGTGTTGCTCACACATAGTGTGCCACTGTTGCCTTTCCATGGCTGTCAACCAGCGTTGAGAGTGCTTGGAGTTGAGTTTTGTTGAGAAGCACGATGGCCGCTGAGCGGCCAGTCAGCGCTGACCGATGCAGAGTCCACTGGTCATCGCGCTTCTCAACAATCACCATTTAACCGCTTTAGATCCGAGACAGGAACAACATGAATCTTACTTTTGCGGCACCCATGACTGCCTCGAGAAAGATCGTGCCCGGTGCTACTACGCCCACCCCTGCTGACGATCCCAGATATCCACGACAGCAACGATCCTACCAAGGAGCCCATCCAATTCGACGTGTACGGCTGCACCATTGACGCGTTCTACTGCTACAACGACGTAAGTCAAGCAAATGACAAAAGACGGCGAAGGTGACACCAACAGAAAGGGCGGCCACGGTCACCGCCATTATGTGCTGGGTGTCACCTTGGTACGTCACTCCCTCGCGCAGACCACCGGGTGCTTCATTTGAATTTACCGGCCCCCACAGACGAGCGCTGTGTGGAAGGATACCTTGACTTGGATCCACTCAACACCGTACTCGTCTCTGTTGTGCGCGTTGATGGCCGATCGTTGCCTACAGGACCCTAACGAGCTTGTCGGGTCATCGACGACCGTTCCCGGCACGCCCCTAGGAGAGGGCGAGCGGGTCAACCTGATCAGGCCCTCAGCCGTGTCCCTCGGCATCCACTTCAACCTGTCGGCTGGAGCAATCGTCAGTATCAGCGAGGTGCGGTGATTTGTTCGGCGAGGGGATTTAGGCCCCCGAGGTTTGCTCACGGCGTTGGGCGGATGGACGATGGGTGGTTGGCGTCCTACGATATCAACGAAGGAGAAGGCTGGCAGTGATGTGACCGTTCCGGCAAAATGCTCGTGTGATTGAAACACGCTCACATGCGGTAACACAACGTGGCAGTAACCATGTTTGAGCTCGCGCGTCCAACAACTATCAGGTGGAGCTCTTCGTTCAGACCCCTGATGCGACGCCTACACCAGTCCCCTTCGTCCCCGCCCCGGAAACCGAAGCTCTTGTGTACTCGTGGATGAACAGCGACGACTCCGATGACGATTACGTGTGGGCGAACGATGACGATGATGCCGCTGGTGTTGTTGTTTCCATCGACGACGACTATCTTGTCGACGACTCGTCGTCTTCGACGGCTAACGACAGAGGTGGTGTTATTTCCAGCGACGACGACAATATTGTCGATGACTCGTCGTCTTCGACGGCTAATGACGAAGCTGGCGATGTTACCAGCGGCGATGATGGCCCTGCCATTGGCTTGCCGTCGTCGACTGCAGATGATACAGATGATGCCACCGACATCGAGGAATTCGGGAACGGCGCGCTTGCGCGCGGGGGGATGTGCTCTAGCCAGGGGCTTGTGGGCGCAGTGGCGGTCGGCGCGATGTTAATCTTGTTCGCTGCAAATACCATGTAAAAAGTGTTGATCAAGTGGTTGTACTGGAGTGTCGTACTGCTCAACAGGCGGGGGATGCCCCATGCAGCGTTGTGTCCAAGGTACGGCGTTCATGAGAAGTGGGGGCAGCGACCCGAAACAAGCCACGAGGTACGAACGTGCAGACAACAGTGAAAACCTGCTCGCAGTCTGTAGACTACCTACCAGGGAGCGCGACATATGTAGTCTATAATAGGTTTACTCTACTGTCGTGGTCGATCGAGCGGAAGGTTAACAAGGCTTACTGCAGATTGGTCAGAATTGGCGCCAATGAACAAGAGGTTGATAGTTCAGAGCGCCGTGCGTAGCAAGCAGTGGAAGTGATCGTGTCACTTCGGAAATTCGGCCATTGAGCTGCGAGGCTGAGGTATTCTTGTACATGGAACTACGTAAACTTCCGGGCCATACATCTCCTACCGTAGCGTTAGTAATAGCAAACAAGAATGGCAGGTGCTTTCCACAGTTAATCGTTTACGGGGATCTCTAACCAAAATCCACCTTGCCCCAAGCTCGAAGGAGATCGTGCTCATAGACGACATCCTCATGCGGAGCGGATTGTCGGGCGGCCTGGGCGCGAATAATGGCGGTTGCTTCGTCCGTGAGATTTTCAACGCGACAAGTCTCGGGAGGTTGGCATGTGAAATCATGTCTTTCTGTCGCACAAGGCAAAGCTTTCCCGCTTTCAATCCTCCATGCATACAACAAGGCGTCCTCCCTTCAGTCTCCGTGTCTGCCCCGGAGGCAAAAAAGCTAATGGAAATATATTGAGCCCGGTTGTGAGTTCTCTGAACTCACAAAACCCCCACACAGGAGATCGCGGCGGTGCCTTCTCACGCCCCAGACCCTTTATTTCTCTCTTCAATAGTTTTCAAAGATCGAAAGACACGGTGTAGGCAAGTTTTGTTGGTGCTTCTGTTCGTACCATCATTTTGACGTCCATTTTGGTTTCGGAGTGCTTCTGCGTGGCGTGCATCTGAAGAACATGATCACTTCCCTCAGCACTCGCCAACTAACCGCCAGATGCTCGTTGTCTGACAAGAAAGGGGGGGGGAGGAGATGGTGTAGGTGGCAAGGTCGAAGAGAACCTTGGCGTCTTCAAATCATCATGGCTGGGAGACGTCATCATTCAAGCTGGCAGTGCTGGCAGTGTAGGGCCCGCGTGTCAAGGCTGTTTCAATGATACGTGAGTGCTGACATCCGAACTACGAAATCGATCTCACAGAGAAATGATGCCACCGAGACGACCGTGTAACTGCTACATGCATGCTCGCCCACGCGTCCAGGGCAGGAGCGTGATACAGAATGAACAAAGCAAGAAGCCTTGAGTCAGGGGCTGCCAGACACTCGGGCAATGACCTTGATACCCGCATTTCGTACTTGGCATAATCGTGACAGACAGTCCATTCGCCCGGGCAGCACAAGTGAATACGGAAGTCAACAACTTTCTCGTGCGCGCTTGCAATTGCACTGAAAAGGATGCGTGTTGAATTCTATGTAGTCCAGCGACATCACCACCGCTTGTTTTCACCACAGACAACAGTCTTGCACATACTCAACGCGAAAGTACCACCGGCAGCCGTTTCTATGACAACGGTGCATCCAGCGTTCGTCTACTACCAGAAATCCGTGCTTTGCTCCCATGGCACCGAGGTTTGTCTGTGGATGCGGGCCATGCTTTCCAAGGGGTACGTTCCAACACGACAGACCACAAAACACAGGCGCTCTTACAGAATACAGAGGTGCATTCTAACCCCAAGCTACAGGTCCCCGATGTCCTTGTCTTTGATCTTGGTGTTGAAAGCGGACATTCTGTCTTTCAGCACTGCCTGCTCTCTCTCAATCTCCTCCAAACGTTGCGGGATGTAGACCTTGCTGTGCTCGGCCTGAAAAATGTGACGGAAAACAAAAAAAACATGCTTGACCACCTCATGGCTCGTTTATCGCAAGCATGCATGCGGTGTGCGTTTCGTACGAGCATTCACAATGCGACTTGCATGGCGGCTTCTTCTTGATTCTATAGTCCAGCCGGGTTGGGGTATGACGATCCATGTTATTCTCCGGCTGCCCATGTGCGACATTGAACACACCATCTCAGGTCGCGCCCAACCTGGCGAGTACATGGGCTCTCTTGACCACGTACACGTGTGTCATGCGCAGTTGATACTTGTTCGGCGTAGTTTGTTTTCCAACCCGCAATCCTGTTGCGAATTGCGTGGGCCATTTAAAACAAATGACAGCCAATGCTGATACCCAGGCACCCTGCCCAACCTTTACTCGATGTGCGGCCGTATGTGAAACTACAACAGGCAAGGTTCCCACGTTAACGAGTCCTTCCTCGCAACTGCGGTAGCCGTGAACCTCAATGGGAGGTAGAAATGTTCTTCTGCCCGCCTTCAAGGACTGAATCCTCAACATCAGGACTTGCCATGGAGAGAAAAATGAGAGTAGGACGTGACGTGACCTGCCAAGCGCTCCTTAACGAAATGATTCACTGCCAGATCCGTTTCCCACGCTTGTCGGCCTCAACGCCATTCGCCCCTCCCCTTGGACGCGGTGCATCAGCCCACGGTTGTTCCGTTCCACGCACAAACCGGTTCATAGTTGTATCGATAATCGGCGTCCGAATCACGGTGTTGGGAATGAACACCACGAATGAGAACACAACACTCTTGACTTGACTCACCTCCTCTTTTTCGGCCTTCATGCGGTTGGCGACCTTCTCGCGCTGCTCCGCCTGCTCCGCTTCTTTCCTGGCTTTTCTATCCGCCCGCCTCTTCTCCAGAAAATTCTCAATTTTCTGGTTCGCCTGAAAAAAGAGAACGACGGGGAGCGTAAGCGCCGCAAGAGGAAGTCACCGATGGGAAGACTCGACGGTAAAATAGATGGAGGAAACTCGCCTTGAGGTCCTCACCTTGTCGAAGAAATAATTAGATCGGCGCGCGTAATGCTTTGATATGTGTACGGAAAGCGGGTGTTTGGTGAATACGACGGTCGGTATGATACACGGAGCATACGGGAATGGTACTATCTGATGATTAGGGAGTTGAACAGTGTCTTGGGTTCTCGTTGCTCACCTCTGTATGGGCGTCATGCATGACAGTGCCCTGATAAATGCAAGCACGGGTTACACTTCCTGAAGGATCGGCTGCTATTAACGTCTGGTCACCACCTGAAGAGGGACAGGAGCCTTCTTGCGTCGCGGCTGGCGGCGTGCGCCTTTGTTTTGTGGTCACGAGAAGGTTCATACAGTTTTAGCAAACCCTTTGCCTCATCCAAACGATTCTGTAGGATTTTCGGAGAATGGCACCGTCTGCGGCAACAATGGAGTGCCTTGCCGGGAATCGGACTCGCCACCTCGACCAAAGCTGTCGAGACTTGCACCTACATTTCGACCGTGAGGGTGACGCCAACCGCGATTCCTTACCACAGGCAACTTGAGATTGGGCGTTGCGCCTCTTGAAGCAATTCACCGCAACTACAACGCCTGCAAAGGCAGAAACCACCCCAGCATGTACATTTTGCACTCATCCTGATGAATACCCGAACCACGTAGAATCGGTCGCCCGATGTGGCGTCGGTCCCCTGACCACCGTTGCACATATATATTTTTCTGCACAGTCCGTGGTAAAGGGTAAGGCACACACGAAACCGTCACCCCGATGCAAAATTTGTTCTTCACTCACCTCTTCTCTCGACTTGGCCATCGTCGCCAGGTCTTCTTCCGACAGCGTCGGTGGGGGGTTTCGACCACGACCGAACATCATGCCCAGCCGAGTCAACACCGTTGTTGCATCTCGCGACTGCCCCCTTGATCTGCTCCCTGCGGGTACTGTTGCTGACCTAGTAGGTGCCCGTGCGAGAGCGCTTTGAGACGATGCCGGAAATGTCTTCAGTAAGGGAGCAAAGGCCTGCAATAGCAGCAAGTGGTGTGGTGCACGGTGTGAGCGGGACGAAAGACGGAAATAGCGGACCCCGCCGCTCAAAAGCGTGTCGGTCAAGCAGTACAACAAAGCTGTGGCTGCTGTAGTTCGCACCCGTTGCAACGTGTACTAAGACTTGCGTGCTTTACGCGACAATCATAGCTCTGCACTTTAGCATACTGCCGTAATGCATGGCTTTTTACGCCAAAGTGGTACGCATCCTTCCGTTGAAAAGCCATGTGTGGTACGCAGGCACAGGGAGCGTTCTGCTGCTGTATGTATTATAGACTGCTAAAGACTCCTGCCACACCCGGGTAGATTCACGCACATGTTTTGAAGAAACGTCGTCTTCGATGTACTTAAGTACTTGTGCAGTCCAGGACAGATGGATTCACGTGTTGTATCATGATCACCTTTTCTACGATTCCCCTAGCAGCATACGGCGGTGTCTCCCCTGAGGGTAACGTTCTACACAGCAGCAGTGATGTACCTGGCATCTCTGTACCAGGCACACTTCAACGTGTTCTGTACTATCCATACAAGCTGAGTGTGTTCTGTACAGCAGTAGTGTGGACTAGTCCACATGTGACTCATAAGACACGTGTCAAGCTGAAGCGAACAAATCAACGGATTCAAAGGGTCTCAGGGATGCGACACTACATGGCGCGGTCAGCTGATAAACTTATAGCAGTAGTTTATCTCAGGGTAGCTCTAGAGACGACCGGGTACGGCAGAAGACGACACTGGTGTTCTACACTGCGAAAGTACGACCATGTCATGCTGACCGCCTAGCTGCAGTTTCCAGTTCAAATATGGGCTTCGGAGCAGGACAGTGGTCTTACCTGGCACGCCCTCAAGCACAGCAACACCGAGAGCAGAAGAGTGTGCAGTAGAAGGTTCATCGTGCAGAGAGGATGCCTACCGTACGTAGGAGACGTTGCCAGCAGTGTGTCGCAGCCACAGTGGAGCGACATCACAACACATGTTGTGAAGGGGGTGTCGCTGATTGCTCACGTCTGCCGTGGGGGGGGCACGCCACTGGGTCATGAAACGTTGTTCTGTGTAGGTGTTCACATTGTTCATGATGTATCATCTCATGGACGTTCACTGCATTCATTGTTGTGTCTCGAGGCTCACGCATCCCTTGTCGAGGACCGGACCCCACCACGCCGAACGAGGTTGAGGGGCGAGATCCAGGGAATAGAACGGCGTGGCCACGACGCTAGGCGAACGTGTCCTTCAACATGATTACCTCCCGTGATAGGCCTTCGTCCTCATTCCGCTCCTCCTCGGTATGCATGTGTAGGGCTCTGTTCATGTAGAGCTTGTTTTTCCTTCTCACGAAGAGCACAACAAACAAACACGATGTCGCCGTGTGTAAAGGAGCCGGCGTGCTGCGCCTGCTGCTCGCACGCAGGATCGTTTTCGTGACGTGGCGTCATGCCGCAAGGGCCGCTGCAGACGGGAAGAGAACGACTATCGAGACCTTGGTCCGGGCAAATACGACTGGTCGTCGATGATGGAGCTGCAACAGTCCCGCCCGAAGACCAGGGGAAGGTGACCACAAACAACTCGAACTGCTGTTTAATACGCACGGATAACATCTCTTTATTTCTGACAACAAATTTATGGCCTTGGGGGCGAACGATCGTATGGTCCAGGAAATCCGTACGAAAGAGTGGTTGAACAACCTTACTTAGCTACAGTAGTACGACGTGTACGGTGTCCTTCAGTGTCGGAATGTGGCCGCCAGGTTCACCGCCTCGCTATACCAAGCACCCGGCATAACTGTATTCAGAGCGTGTTTCAGATAATTTTGGATGACCCCACAGTACACTATCGAGGGACCCCCGTCGCACGCTGTCTAATCGCCAAATCTACAATCCTAGTCTATGTGCTGTTGTCATATGTTCAAATCTGCCGCAAGCACACGTACGTACGTGTATCAACTGTGAACGGTTAATGGAAACCACACCAGACGTCGGGTGTTTGATGTTTTCCGATCGACAAGAAAAATTGTAGACTTTGCAATAGGGCCTCTTCTTTCGCACATTTTGAGGCGAATGGATTGCTGTGGTCACATGGATTTGGTCGATGTATGAAATGTACGAAGTGTTTCAAAAGCGCGAAGGACACAGGGTAAACCCTGCTCAATACTCGACTCAGCTGCGTAAAGCAGCTTGAAACTTGGCAAGCTGATTGGTCGAAGCCTGCTTTCGACACGCTCATTGGCTACTTTTCTCCGACACTTAAGGCTATGTGTTACCCGAATTTCGGGACAGTACCTTGATTTGGCGGGAGATGGGGCCCGTCCAAGGGCCAATGTTCCGAAGGAATCGCTTCCCGCTCCCACTAGAGGCCATCAAACCATGAACCCTCCTCCTGTCGCCGGCAGAACAAACGCGCCATGGTTGACGAACCCTTCCCCCGGCAGCGACATGCTGAGCTGAATAACTGGCGAAATACGACCAACACAAACACGCCACGGACAAGCATTTCAACTCAAAATACAAGCAGACCTACCGTTTGCCCATTCTCGCCTGTCTCCTTTCATCTCCCGTCCAAAAAGGCAGCTTACGGAGTAATCTACTAGTTGTTGGGCTTGCAACACGTGAAACAGTCGAGTATTTTTGCAACGACGTCTCTCCGGTGACACCTGCCTTATGATGAGAAACATGAACAAGAACACCACGTAGATCCAACGGCTTGGGGGCTAAGCTCGTCCATCACACGCCCTATACCCCACAACAAGCATTCTAGGGGGCAGTGGGGGTCACCGCTCCGCAGTTCCCCGGGCAGAGGTCAACTGGTACCCAGGCCGGAAAGACTACCCCAACTTAGGACCGGGAGTATACCATCAGGCAAGTCACTGTCCTGACTTCTCCCGATCTCGGCGCTTCAACTACTACGGTTCTTCTATACGTTCGTCGGGTGGTCGAGACGTCAATAGGCAGCGTTTAGATACCTTCCCCGGCCTGCCCCTTACGAGCTTCAGAACAGCATTCTAGTCGTTGGGTGAGGGGGGTTCATCCACATCACCCCGGGTTTACACGTATTTCGGCTTACTGTTCGTGCTCGGAGCGTACAAGCTGATTCCACCTTCGGGCAGAAAAAAATTATCTGGAAGGAACAGCAACGTATGGCGTCAACAGCAGCAATCAGAAAGGGTCAGAGTGTGTATTCTTCGATGAAAACAACGTGAAGCACGCGCGCACGAGGTTTTCGACGGTTCAGGGCGGATGCCTACGTTTCAGGGCGGATGCCATGGTGGGGGGCAAATTCCAATGGTTCCCTTTGCACGGCAGGCGTCACGCTCGTTCTTGACCAAGACGGACGCGATCATCTTCCTCCCGGGGAGTAGACGAGGCTTCCACTCCTTTCTCAACAGCGGGAGATCGAAGGTACGGCGTAGGTGTCCGACGGGGGGGTTTTGCGGACAGTAGCAATGTTCGCCATCCCTTTGTCGTGCCTTGCGCCACAGAAGGACGAAGTTCGGTCGGATACCAACGCGCAGCGCGGACCGTTGGATATTGCCTCTCGCTCTTGAGGGCGACACACGTGTAGTGACAGAATATCGACTGTGTCGCGCGTTGGAAGGCTATGGATGGCAGAGAAATTCGCCAAGTTCAAACTGAGACAATAATCTGCGGTACGCAAGAGGCGACCCGCTGTGTAGTTCTTTCAAGCCGGCGACGGAAAAAATCAGAACTCTGTATTTCCAAATTTCAAGCATTATCGGAAGGCGTCAAGAGGCCTGGCAAAGGGACAGCAAACCGCTGTTTCAATGGAAAATATACCACAATATTGTACGGCAACTCTTCCCTTGTTCAACGGAGAAGTAGCCAAGCAAACTAGCGACAGGTATAAAGCCTTTCCACTTTGACACGTCTATGTCTTCTAACGAACGTGTCAATCGGCTTTCACGGGAATGGTAGAAGACGAGCAATCTGTGCGGCAGCTCCTCCGTTCACAAGGTTCCACCGAGGGTCGGGGGTCCGCTGCCCAACACAACCACAACTTTTCTCGTTCAAATGGCACTCTGCTGTGGGAGTTAGTATTCTTGCGTGTACGGCCAAAGTCTAGCAGGTAACCCCCGCGTTCTGAGTTGTTTCTTTTCCTCGATGCTACCCCCGTGTCTGAGCAGAGGCTGATGGGAGACGCTGTTCTGTTTAAAACAGCTAGGGCTGACGGGGAGCATCTCGGCCCAGGATCGTATGACCTACCTCCCACCCTCAACAATGGTGAGGAAGCGAGCTACATCCCGGCATAGAGTAGCGGGCCGTAGCGCTTCTACTTGTGCATCAGGGGACATCGCATCAGGGGACATCGGCAGTACTGATGGCCACTATTTCTGTTCTTCACCCCACCTCTTATTTTACGAGTAGGGCTATGCGTGCCACTTTCGGTAATAGCATGACAAGCTTAAATATGCACTGGGATAGGCGTGGCATGCCCTGCCAAACCGGCTGAAACCCTCGTTTCACGACTTTCCGGCTGTTTGCTCGATGTGGTGAACGTTGGTATTGCGAGACACTAACGTTTCACGTAGCAGAGGCCGGTATACTATAGATCAACCTTGGCAGACTTGAACGACGTCCTGCGCAGTCACTTGTTTAAGGCTCGCAAATGGTATTCTCCCCGAGCACTTTTTTAGCTTCAACTGAAAGGTATTAACGCCAGATTTACGTTCACATTTTGAATTGATTGCTGTCGCTGCCTTCCCCGTCTTCGCTACACGGCAACCATATTTTCTTCATGGGTAGGCCGTAGGCCCAGCACAGGCCCGGAAGCAAGCTTGCGGGTCAAGCCCCAACAAACCCGTCCCCGTTCCCGACTTCGGCGTGCTGTTAGTTCAACGAGCTCTGTCAATGGGACTGGATGTTTGAAAGGGAGCGTGGGGGCGGACGCGGGGTTGTACATGGAGGAAGAGGAGGAGCGTGCGGCGGCCGTAAACGCCGTCCGAGGTGCGTGTACTTCTTTGTTTCTTGAAGTAGCCCCGTCGAAGAGTCCTGGATCGTACTTTGTTTGAACACCACGATGACGGTAGCAACGACAACAGAGGGTGGAGTCTATCTAGCCGGCACGATAGTTCGGGTGTAGACACTTTGTGTCCGTGGAAATCATAAATGTTTCAGGCCGTGTTTGTTGTTTCTGATGCTCCATCAAAGCGGAACGTGACATATGGTACACTAGTAGCTTGTATGAGGGCAAACCAAAGAGATCCATTCGCTGCACCAACTCTGTGTGCGATTGATAGAGCGGTAGCAGAGCGTCTGCATTTTTTCTGCGCCGGCTGTGCTTAATAACGTCACACTCTTTCCCCGGTTTTCCTCACGCCACGCTTCTGTCTTCCGCCCTCCAAACAATCGAATGGATTCAAGGAAGGCGTCGCCGTTGACAGTATGGTCAGTAGATAACGCTTGAAGGTAGATGTCGAACACTATTTGTTGTATGCCACGGCACACTAATACGCCCTGTTCGATTTTCTGTCCCTCCGTGCTGGGTCGTCTTTGTTCACACCGCAGCTCTCCCAGAATTACATGTACGTCAACGCGACTAGATATCAACACAAATCAGCGTGGCCTGACCGAGTTTCGTCACACGGCTATGCGGATGCTGACGCACTCGTACAATCCTTTGTCCGCGCTACCAGCGAAAGCTGTGTGGTAGTCGAAGGAACCGAGTGCTCAAGGGAGCCGGAGGCAGGGAACCTCTTCTACCTTGCAAGCATCAGCGTATTGGTCATAGGTCGAGCGGCGTAGATCCTGGCGTTCATTTCAAACTCGCACCATCGAGCTGACGGGTTGTAAGGTCGTGTTGTCGCATGCAAGCTGGGAGGTGTGTTTGGAAATGCGGCTGAACGGCGTGTCTCGAGCAAGTCTGGTGCTTTCGGGTAGAGAGCCTTGAGAGACAACGACGTCTCCACGAGCCGCCGTAACTTTCTCCGACCGGACTACCTACAGGTCCAAGCTTTTTCGGTCTTGTGCAATGGCTGAGCTAATTGACGAAATTCTACCTCCGGGGCACGCATGGAAACTGCCGAATTCACGCAGGGTTACACCCGAAGTTCTTGGCTCGGATGTCTGCTCGTGTGACGAATGCTTCTCTTCTTGAGGACAGCACTTGAGACGCTGCTGGCTTTTTGCGGGAGTTTACTCTTTGTTCTCGCTCCTGTTGTTCGATTGATACGAGAGGATGCTGAAATACGGGAGTTGATATTGCATAGTGTAGTCTATGGCGTTTGCTTCCTCTGTTTGATTCCCATCTGTCCGTATTTGTTTTGTTGTCGCGGAGTTAGTTGCGCTAGATGTCGCGCGTTTGGTCCTAAAAAAATCGCGCGAACTTGGTAACATGTAAACAAACGTGTGACGTTTGATTCTGGGACCTTGCAACCGACGTTGTCAATGCTGTTGTTTTTCTACTCTTATCGCCCCGCTCCGCGTAGACCGGTACAAACTGTTTGTTCTGAGCGTGAAACCGTAGAAAAGACAGAACGTTCTGTAGTCTAAACCGCAAAGGCAGCTCGACACCCTAGCGCTGGGTATGTTTCCGTAAGCTTTGACCCCCATGCTCTTTCTCGAAGGACCGCCTACGCAGGCTTTAAAGTGTATCTAGAAGATTTAAAGGGAGGGGGTATGCAGACCCTATCCCTAACCCTAACCCTAACCCCAAAGCACGGATTGAATACTTTGTTCTGCGTAGACTACTGTTCTCGAAGGGGGTGTATACATCAGGGGCTGACTGACCCAAAGGTGATCAATACATATATAAGGACGCCACCTTTCCCCCCACACATGGCTCTCCGGTCAACACTGGCCACGAAGAGGCCCCTCCCCTCCATGACCAACCGACGACCAAAGCCCACGACTTCGGCATGCATAAAACGAGCAAGCCCCTCCCGTTGTGCGAGGCCAATACATTACACGGCATGCGCAACCACGGCTACCTCAAGATTCCCGCGTACTCCTGTCCCTGCACGGGGTTCAGAAACTACCTCTCTCCAACAGGGAGTACCAATGATGCTTGGAACGCACATCTTTCGGGTCGTTCTTGCGGTCTGGGGAGCTGCGTATCGTGATTGGATGAGAGGGTCTTGGGGGCCAGTTGGCGGCGTTTTGTTGGAGCAAAGGCGACAGCTCACCCACCCGTATTTCCGAACAAGGGTCGTGCTATGTCGCTGGCACTGTTGGTTTCTGATAAGTGCGCACAGGGAAGGAAACGAGAGACGGGCCACCCGCACCATGATTGAGACAGACCCGGGGAAGTTTCGCGTCTGAACCCTGTCAGCTACGTCGGCCGGAGTGTGTGTGTGTTGTGTGTGTTTTCGTCCTATTTATTATGGCGACAGTCCCCCCATTTTTCGTGGTGAGACGTGTACTACACTTTTCAGCGTATGTAGAGTACTACCCTTTTCAGTGTATTTTTCGTACAACTACAACCATCCAGGGTCACAGGAGGGGGTAAACACCAGGGCTTTTTCTTCTCTATTTCTTTTCATGCCCCACCATCCTCCTGCGGTGCGTGCTGTTTTTTATTTGTATCGCGTGAAGGGTCCAGCCGTCCCTTTCCCTCGTCAACGGTGCTGGCGTCGAAGTTTTGGTACTCACGAGAGCTTGTCAGCTATATTTCGCTTTCACCCGCACATTTCGTAAAATTTTCACCCCATCGGGGTTCGAACTAACGACCTCTGCAACTAGCGGATTACGAAGATACCACTAGACCACCGGGCGACCGGTGCGGAAACCCCTTAACGTAACAAGCTTGTGGCACATACCCGTGTCGGAAAAGTGGGATAACAGCAAAAAGTCAGCGTGGACATCCCGATTTCGCCGTGCGCGTTGCCAGCGTCTCCCTGCCTGACAAAACCGTCGGCGTGTAGACTAAATATCTCCTTTGCTTCCTAGTTTCACCGGCGGACCGGACCGGATGACGTCGCCTTCATATCAAAAATCAAAAACGCCCGTAGAATCCTTTTTATGCCGTATCTAAAACGTAAATGGTGCAAAATGTTTGACTTGCGTGGTTACAGGCCGACCCACAGGTGAGATGCAAAAAAGAAGCTGAAAAGAAACATGCACGTATTCCATAGGCAAGACAGCGAACATGCGCTCCATTCCATTTGATTCCATTTGCTGGAATGGGAACATGGCGTTCCAGATTGCTTTGTTCCCCTTCAGAAAGTACGCACCGCGCGACAATGTGTCCGAGCAACAAGTAAGATGGGGAGCTCCTCTCGTACAAACGACAAGACCGATGGCCATGTAGCGCGAAATTTGAAATCCCCTACAGCAGCTGTTTGCAGGGCAATTTTGTGACGGACGACGGTATATATTTATCGGCCCAAAACCATTTGTACATCAATAGCCCCGACGAGCGCAAGATCGTCCATATACCAGCGGGCAGACACAGCGTCGCTTCCTACTCAACTACACGTTCACCCAAGCATGGCCGAACACCGAAATCCACCCATCATGGCGTTTCATCTACATCAAACTCTCAACGACCCCTTCATACTCGACCAATACGCTAACCAAATGCAAATAAACCGTGAAGAGAACTATAAAAAAGGTGAAGAAGTCATCGTAACGGCAATTCCAAGACGACGGAGGGGGGAGGGGAAAGCTGCTAATCGAATCAGGCAGGTGAGGGGGGAGAAGCCCACGTCACAAAAATGAACAACGTTCCACCAACCAAAAGACAGACACGCCCAGCTGCGAGGGTCGTGTACGTGGCCTCATACTGTTATCTGTCGTGCTGACAACGTACTTCGAGTGCCAAAGAGCGTCCTCGCTCACTGAACAAAACAAGGGCCAAGGTTATCCCGTATCAACACATAGTCTAATCCTGCCGTGCATCCTTCACCTTGCTCACACATGTGTCTTCTTGACGAGTCTACATCTCATCAAACACTCTACTACACATTTACATGATCCATTCGGACCTGACCTTCCATGACAAAAGCCGTAGACTGGTGGGACAAGACCACAACCACCAACCTACACCGGGGAGGTGTCTTGAATCGATCCTCCCCCAATCGGCGCCCCCCTCGAATTCGACAACAGCGGCAACCGGTCGCCCCCGGCACCGTCGTCCCCCCTCTCCACGCCATCTGCGTGCGCAGGTTGCATCGCCGGTGCGGTAATTACGGCCGCAGGGGCGGCCGGAGAAGCAGATGAAGATGAGGGGGAGCTACTTGTAGGAGGAGCCAGCCCTACCGTTAGAGTCACCGGGTCTTTGCACATGGGGCAGCTTCTTTGACGCTGGGTGAGCCAAGGCGTGATGCACCCCGCGTGGAAGGCGTGCTGGCAGGGGAGGCTTCGCAGCTGAGGTACGTTCGCACCGGGGGGGGGGGG